TTATTTTTCAATAAAAATTAAAAACTTACTTTCAAATAATTTATTTATGTGTTTATTTTTGTATGTATTCATATTCAGATGAGCCAGATCGTCCTAAGACTCTATGTGAGCACCACAGAGACAGCATTCAGACCACCAGTCCAGATGGACATCCTCTACTTGGAGCCTATGTCCCTCAGTGTGATGAACATGGACACTATCATCTACAGCAGGTGGGCATTTCTTAAAACTTTTTGATTTAGTGRTTTAATAATGAATCAGTTCACTGTTTAGAAGCATGAAATGATCTTTTTTTACTTTTTCAGTGTCATGGTTCTACCGGACATTGTTGGTGTGTGGACCATAAAGGACAGGAGAGACCTGGAACCAGGACTCCACCTGGTACACCACATGTAGACTGCAGCAGAGCAGGTGAGGCTCAAATTGCATGACAATAGAAGGAAGCTAACAACTCTTATGATATGTCGCTGGACACTTTAAAATGCAAAACTCAGTTTTCTCATTTTTATTTCACAACCTCTTTAACACTTTGTTTTTGGATGTGTTTATATATGTCCAATGTTTATCCTTTTATGAACCAGATCAGACCAGACATTTTATTTCTGACATTCCTTATAAACAATAGAGCATCCCAAGACTCAGTGTGAGCACCACAGAGACAGTGTTCAGACCACCAGTCCAGATGGACATCCTCTACTTGGAGTTTATGTCCCTCAGTGTGATGAACATGGACATTATCATCCACAGCAGGTTGGCATTTCTTCAAATTTTTTTTCATTGTTTCTCTAGCATTCAAATTATAATTTGGGATTCTTTGAAGTGAGGTCCTTTGGAGAGGTTCTGAATAAACATGTTGCCGTAGTAAATCTGAATTTTCCATTGAATTTATTTCACAATGCAGTAGTGTCATGTATGACAACATGAACTTTCATTACTTTTATAGTGCCATGGTTCAACAGGACATTGTTGGTGTGTGGACAGTAGAGGACAGGAGAGACCAGGAACCAGGACTCCCCCTGGTACACCACATGTAGACTGCAGCAGAGCAGGTGAGACCCATCAAGGTTCTTTAGGACTAGACAAAGAACCAGAACCTGGCGCTGAAGCCACAAAAGGAGCGCCCTCTATTAGCTGGCGTTTTTT